CAGAGGCAGGCAGCTGAGTCCCGAGGTATCCTGCATCAGCATCCATCCCACACCGCAGCAGAGCTGTCTACACATGCTGGAGCGCAGGGGGACAGAGTCAGAGTGATCAGCCCTGTGGACAAGGGGGCAAAATCCCAGCACACACCACCAAGTGACTCCCTACACACCCATTTCCCTCCCCAGCCCACTGCTGAGCCTGTGCCCCAGAGCCAGGGGTGCCCCATCACCCCATGAGGGCTGCAGCAGCAGTGCAGGTGACCTTCCTGACTCATGGAGCCAGAGCTGCAGGGCAGGAGAGCTCTGCATACTTGCTTTTTGGCTGAGCAGGGCTCTGCAGTGAGGCTCAAGCAAATTTGAGGGGTCTGCTCATATCCCCCCAAGCTCGCTGCTGCGAGCCCTTCCCAAGCCCCTGGCAGGCCAGACCTGGGTCAGAAGCTCAAGGCTGCCCTGCAGCAGGGTGCATGCAGGCTTGCCCCTCTCCTGCTAGCCGGGAGTTTTGCAGGTTTCCTTTGAGCTCGGGGGGCTGGTGCAGGCCCTGCCAAGCAGAGGAGCGAAAGACACTGTTTGGGCTGGAAAGCATGTACTTTGTGGGGTGGGGAGTGGGACTGAAGCACCTCACCACACTGCCTTAGGCGTGCAAATCTAGCGGGAGCCAGAGAAAAGCCATAAAGCAGCTGCAGACAGACGTGCAGGTTGTTCTCCAGGAACAGCACAAGCCCCAGCACCAGAACTCTTCCAAATTCCGCTCTGGGCCCCTAGATTTAGGAGCTGGGGGCTCAGCCTGCCCCACAGCAGCTGGACCTTCCTACCTCCTTCCCTGCAACTACACAGCCTCCATCTCCCATCCTAGTAGCAGCGGAAGGAGCAAAGCAGAGCCAAGGACCCCTGAAACCTTGCAGCCCCCATTTCCAACTGCTGGTGGCCTTGGGGGAGGGATGGAAAATATCCTGCACACTTACCCCATGGCCCCTTCCCAGTGCTCTGCACCACCGTGCTGCCTGGCATCAGCAGCCCCACAGGATGGATGGGGGACAAACACTGCAACTGCTGCTCAGAGCCCCACCAACTTTTTGGGGTGCACAGCCAGGCTGTGGAGAATTCTACTGGGCAACTACCTGGCCAAACCTGGGTGCCTGCACTCACATTCTTCAGTCCCTGCTAGCCTGGCAGCATCACACTGCAGCCGTGCTCCCTGCAGGTCCTAGCACTGCAGAGCTGAGTCAGGGCTGTTCCTCCACCCTCCCAGCCCTGCGCCAGCTCTACTCTAAACCCTGCAGGAAAGGCAGACGGCAGCCCTGGGTCCCACTAGGATCACTGCCTCAGGGCTAGGACCCAGGCCCATACACAGGGCTGGCCTGCCTCAAGCTG